TTTTTGAAGGAAAGGCTGCATAGGTCTGCGGGTTATCCAGGCAGTGCCTTGTTTTGGGGGAGAATCCCCAAATCCTGGTCGCTTACCTCTCTTGTTGCCCCTGGCAGGTCACCAGGCAAGTGGCCCAGTGCAAGTGTGCCAAGAGATTTCAAGTGGAGCAGATCGGCGAGAACAAATACCGGGTAAGGCAGAGGGGACCAAACGCTTCCCCGACGTCACAAATCCTGCCCCCCCTTCCCACCCCAGCCTGAGGAGGGGGGCGGGTGATCACCCACGGGGTGAGACGGAGCCCTGGTCCTCCGGGAGCCATGTTTGCCCAGCGCCGTGCCCAGCCCCGGGGCGTTCCCCGAATCGGGAGAGCATAAAAGTGTCCCTGTTCTGGGGCAGCCGGCCCCGTCAAACGCCGCATTCACTCCGCCGGCAGCCGCCCTTGAAGTTTTTCCTCGCGGACGAGTGTACCTCACGCCTGTGTTTTTCTTAGCTCGCTCCTGAAGAAGGGAGAATAATTTCCTTAAAAGAATCTCTTTGTAACGAGCTCGCTGTTTATGTTTTCCGTATCCTTCACCGAGGTTGAACTTGGGGAAAGGAGCCGACAGCGGAGCTGTTTTCGGGGCCAACGCTCCGGCCGGGAGCAACCGCAGCGCTCGTGCCCCTCCAGCTGCACCGGCCTCCCCGAGCTTCTCCCTTACACCCCAATAGCGTAAACCCCACAGATTTCTAACTACCTGCAGTTAACAGTTTTCGTGATTATTGCACTGTTAATCCCATAAATGTTTTTTCTTGTTTTTCTTTCCCCTCCTCTTCCTCTCGACTTTCCTCCCCTCCACCCCATTCCCTCTCCCTCCATAGTTCTTCCTCGGCAATCAGGTACAGTTTGCCTTGCGATGCTGTCTCTCACCTCTTTGGGGATTTTTTTCATGTGTTTGATTTTATTTTTTTTTTATAACCAAACATAACTCTGTGTGTCCGTGATGCTGCTCTGTCCGTTCTTGCTGTGGGAGGGTGTGATCCATGAGTGCTGCTCAGCAGAGCCTGGTACAGAGCAGTGCCTGAGCTGGGAACGTCACCTTTAAAAAAAAAAAAAAAGACTGCGATGGGCACCAAAAAGGGGGAAAACTAATGGAAAAAAAGCAGGATTTGACAAAAATTGAGAGGTTCCTTTGGGGAATCGTCAGCCCAAGGACCTGCACGAAGGCTGTACCAGGCTCTGGGTGGGTTTGGGTCGCAATCACCACGGAATGAGAATGCTGAGTCCGCCCCGTTTAATCCCGCAGGTAACGAGAACTAAACCCTCATCCCCGCTGCACCCACTGAGTAATTCCTAACCGGAGCCAGGCTCACAAACCTGCACTGGCGGGCCCTGCACGGGCGGGCCCGGAGGCGAACGGCGCAGCGTGCGGCGGTGCCGGCTGCCTCGGCAGGCAGAGATCTTGTTGGTTTTTTTAAGGGGACTGGAGCATCCCGAGGCGTTAGGATGCACCAACTGCCCCTGCTCGAGTAAAAAAGCTGCTTTTTCATGTGGAAGGATGATGCCCTACCAAAAACTTGCCAAAAAAACCCAAAAAAAACTTGGAAGTGGACGGATCTGAGAGAGCTCTGGCTATAATTTAGGCAGCGAACGTAGAAAGGTTTTCAGCTGAAAAATAATGTAAATGTGGCAGTGGAAATAAGAATTTTTCCCGGGTGCAGAAGTAGCTCTCGAAGGACACTTACGCAGAGCCTGGAGCGAGGGAAGGCAGCTCAGCAGCTCTTCCACCGGCACACCGGGATGAGCCCCGAGTGGGGAGACCCCAAGATCCCACGTCCCTGTGGGAAGGAGGGTTGGAGATGCTGTTACCTGCTGTGACCCATCTCAGCGTGGCTTTGCACTTTGTTTTCCTTCAGTCTCTTGGGTTTTTGTGTTCTTATCCACCCGAGGGAAATGTAGCTTTTTTTTCCCCCCTTTTTATAATCATTCTGAAGAAACATCTTGCTTTCAAAGGCTGGTTCCCCTCTCTTCTTGTCACCTCGGGTGCTCAGTAGACCTGGAGAGCTGCACCCGCTGCAGAGGGCAACCAGGAGCCTGGGCTTGGCTACCCAGGAGATTTAGGGAGCTCTGAAACGCAGGCACAGGCTTCTGATTCAGGGTGCACTTGTTTGATCTCGCAGGTGTTTAAAATCACTAATTGAACATTTTGCAATCACTAATCGACGTTGCTGCGGGGTTCCTGCCGGGTTGCCCATCACTCTGCGCTCACCACAACGTTTTCCCCGGGTGATCTCAGCGGCGGGGGCTTTCTGGCTGGTGGGGTCAAGTGTGAGGCTCGGTGAAAAATCCCTGGGCTTCAGACTTGATGACAGGAGGTTTCTGGCTCGGCGGTGACGCAGCACTGCTCGCCTCACTGATTCACCAGCACTCGGTGTTCTGAAGCGGCCGGCTCTTTTCCACGTGGGCTGCACCGGGAGGGTCATTGCATTCCCAGCCTCTGTTTCCTTCACGATGAAAGGAAAAACTACAATTCTGGCTGAGAAAACCCACCCAAAGGCCAAATCGCAAAAGCTCATTTGCTGCTCTAAAAAACTTCCCCACTTTAAATCTAAAGGATGCATCATCTTAAAGCCAGGCAGCAGAAAAACTCCTGTAAATTGATACTAGCCTGTGCTTATTCCCAAAGAATCTCACTGGAGGAACCTTAAAAATATTCAGTAGCTCAGTGAAAGCACCTGGTGCAGCCCGCTGCAGGAATGAGCCGAGTGTCCCCTCTTGTTTCCTTTTGTCTGAGCTGTTCCTTGGCTCCGCAGTTCGGCGATTCCCAGCAGCGGCGGCTGGGCCGTATCCTGCGGAGCACCGTGATGGTTCGCGTCGGGGGAGGCTGGATGGCCCTGGATGAGTTTTTAGTGAAGAACGATCCTTGCAGAGGTAAGGCAATCCCTGGGCTTTGTGCAACTGGTGTGGCTCTGTGATCTTTGTAAAGGTCACCTGAAAGAATTCAAAAAAGTCCAAAGCCAGGAGATGGTAAAATTTTTGTCTGAGACGCTGGGGAGAGGATGCTCTGGGCAAGGATACAGGAACCTGAGGTACTGGTGCTGCAGGCTGTGTTGCGTTTCTCTGAGGGATTTCTGAGCACCACAGCTTGCTGTCAGTGTGACAATAAGCATCACCTTGCATGAGTGTGTCCCGGGCATTGACCAGCCTGGCGGTGAAACAAAAAAAAGATATTTCAGGCTGGCCAGGAATGAAGTGCATCAAGGCTGCTTCCTTTGGAGACCTTAGGTCTGTAGTCCCTGTGTCCCCTTCTCTGAGATGTGAACTGCCGTGGCTGCGTCTTCTCCAGGCTGCTGCTCTTACCGTTCCTTGCCCCTGCCGTCCCACGGCTGTTGCTGAAGGGAGTGTGATGATTTACAGCGTGATTTACAGCGTGTCCCGCTTGCGGCGGGGAACCTTCAGGGTTTTCCTGCTCCTCTGGCCTCCCCCATCCGTGCTTTGCAGCAGATGTTTTGCAGCACTGACAGGGAGGTTATTTCCATCCCTTGTTATCTCAGCGTGGCGCTTCCCTTCTGCAATTGCTCTTCTGATCCATAATGCATCGACTCTAAAATTGCTCCCGTGCCCCATAAGGCTCGGTGCGTGCCCTTGCTCCCAACACCGTGAGCATGAAACCCGTTGGCATGTGTCAGCTGGCCCAGGAGCTGAACCCCGTGGATTTTCTCCCTTGGTTGTCAAAGGGAGACCCTCCAGCTCTTCGAGGCGTTGGGGTGAAAGTTTTAACGTTGGCTCTTAACGAGTGGTGATTACTTCTCTCCCAAAAAAATTGGTGGCGAGCTGCCCAGCGCTGTGAGAGAGCAGAATCTCAACCCTTCAGAGCTGCTCTTACAACGTTTAAGCCACGTTAAAGGTGATGCTGGTCACTGTTGTCGCACGGTGTGTTTAGAGGACGCTTTTCCCAAGACACGAGACAATAACAATGTGAATTAGTGGCGTTTTCAGTCCGCCAGCTTCTCAAAGAGCTCTGGTCCATGGCAGGAGATGGTGAGGGCAGAGCCAAGAGAGCCAGAATGTTGGGTCATAGGCTGGACTTGATGATCTCAGAGGTCTTTTCCAGCCTCAACAATTCTGTCATTCTGGAATGGTCTCGCTGCCATCCGCTCGCCCGCGGAGATGGGCAGCAAGAACTGAACCCCGGCAACGTCGGGTTCATGCAAACCTCAAGCCTCCTCTCCTTTTTCCCCTTCCAGCACGAGGACGCACCAACCTCGAACTCCGAGAGAAATTCATCTTGCCGGAGGGCGCCTCGCAGGGAATGACCCCCTTCCGATCGCGAGGCCGAAGGTCGAAACCATCCTCCCGAGCAGCCTCCCCGACGCGATCCAGCTCCAGCGCCAGCCAGAGCAACCACAGCTGCGCATCGATGCCGTCCTCTCCCGCCACTCCGGCCAGCGGAGCCAAGGTGGGCGTCGCACGTGAAACCTTCTTCTTCCCTCTCCTTCGGAAATCGGTGGCCTCCAAACCCGTCCTGGCGAGAGTGTGTGGAGGAGGAGGAAGAGGAGGAAGGTTGGGGCTGGGCGGCTCGATGGTTCCTGTGGTCTCTAGAAGATGTTGGGGGTGTCTGTGTGCGGGGGGGGACGCTGTGGGACAGGTTTTGAGCCCGAGCGGGATGCTTGTGGCTCTGCAGGAGGGTCCCCGGCGCTCGCCGTGAACACGAAGGGGCCGCAGCCGTG